AGAACACACCTCCTTGTTACCCCTTCTCGCGCAGTGCCTCCCTCCCCAGCTTCGTCGCCGCAGACGCCTGCGAAAACAGAGCCAGGGTTACGAGCCACTGCTGCAAAGTCTGCGCCGTCAACAAAGAAGGAAGAAGTCGCTAAGTTGGAGCGTGCCCAAGTCAAGCCCAGCTGCAAACAGCCTGCTGCGCCACCTTCTGCGAAAGGCAAAGGCACTGGTGCCACCTGCGCCACGCTCTGTTTGTTCAAGCAGGAAGGAGAGAAGGAGAACGTGGCGCCGCCATCCCCCAGCCTCAGTACTTCCGCAGAGTCTGAGCGAAGTAGTGCCCTCAGACCACCTGCAACACCAAAAGCGGACAAGAGAGTGAGCTTTTCCCTCGCCCCAAGCAGCAGCATTTCTCCCAGCCCAGACAACGTTCCCACTCCAAGTCTTCCCGCCAGCCCTGCCACGAGTGCTGGACTTGCTGCAGTTCCCACCGGCCCAGCGCCGACGCCGGGGGGTGCTGCAGTTCCCACCACCCCAGCGCCGACGCCGACAGGCACTGAAGCAGCCCCCGGTTCTGAGCCTGTCCTGACCCCTCCCTCCACGACAGAAATCAAGGTGAGGCCAGGAGCAGCTTGACAGCATTGGATATTGTCCAGACGAGTTACTTCTTCCGGCCTTGAACCTTGAAAAGTTCGTTCTAAGTTGATATACATGATCGAAAGTGTTTCAATCCAAAGGCCGTTCCCATCCAACCTGGGGACCAGAAGCAGCGGCAGAGCCACTATGCGGTTTTCCGCAGGCTAGACCGCAGCGCTCTTTCCAGCGCTTTCGTGCACATGCCTTTTTTAACTCTATATATATGTATATATACATATGCTCTCTTCCCCAATAACCAGGGCTCCCAAAACTTTGATTTACTTTAGAGACCCTAAAAAGGAAGCCGCAAAAAGAAAAGCCCCACACAGGTTAAAGTTATTCTATTGGGTAAGTAAGTGTATATATATATAGGATACTACACAATTCATGTACTCAGCTAGCCGTAGGAGTCACACTATACATGCTTGAGTAAAAGGTTTTTGTCCAATAAGGGATCCGCTTCATGGTCTGCGTGCTGCTTCCTGATCAAAATTGAGCCTGCAGGGCCATCACAGGCGAGGTGCACGACCCGAACATCCCAGCAGAGATGGTGCAAGCTTGGCAGACTGCTTGCAAGGAAAAGTCCCGAGCTGCAAAGGGCAAGCTCTTTGAGAAGTGGCTCGAGGCAGGTGGAGACTTCGGACAGCCTCTCAGATGCAATGTTCCGCGAAGCTGATTGCGCTCTAACTGTTTTTGGGGCAGCGTTGAGTTTGAAGATTTGTGTAGAGCGTGGCTGTGCGCTTATAAGGCTTGTTGTGGAGCGCGTGGTGGAATCCTTGGACAGAACCGTTGGTGAGCACAAGATGGGTGTGGCCCCCATAAGCTTTTTAAATCACACACTCTGTTGCAAGATACCGCTCAAGTGATCAGCAGCCTGCCCAGGCTGGCGAACGAAGGCCCAACTTATCGAGATGCATGGCGGGGAGGCGAGCCGTGCGTTGGTGGAGCTTCTCTGTGAGAGAAAAAGGCAGCAAGGGCTAGTGAGGGAGCACCCTGACTTTCCTGGGCAAGCCGACATGTTGATGTACTATGTCGTGGTGGAGATGTCGCACAGCCGGATTGAGGAGACACGTGAGCGTGTCACTGCCAGGGCAACGGGAGCAGTGGACATCGGGTCTGAGGCTGCTGCTGCCATGGGAAGTTGTGTAGACTCGCTTATCTCAGGCAGCTCNNNNCCAGGCACTCTGAACTTGTTGGGCGGCAGCCAAGAGCCACCAAACAAGAGGAGGAGGAAGGGAGAGAAGGGAGAGGGCAAGGGCAGGGGAGATAGCAAAGGGAAATCCGAGAAAGACAACCAGCTGTTTTTTGGCTGCAATGTTTTTTTTCACGCGATCAAATTGTGAATGCATACTTTCATGGTGTCTGCGTGGTGTGGCAGCAGCAACTCAGGGAGCTGCCAGACACTCTGGCAGAAGCTGGGGCCTTCATGACAGTGCAGCTCCTGAACGACCTCAAAGAGGCCAAGATGTGGCCGATTCGCCTCATGGACCTGAAGCACCAGACTTCCTTGCGTACTCGAGCTGAGTCCATGTTACAATTTCAAGATTTGTGTTTCTGCTAGTGTGGCTGCTTGTTGTGTTGGGCGCGAGTCTCCAAGGCAGCACCATGACTGTCCATGAGGAGGAACTGCAGAAGTCGTATATGCAGCTCCTGCGGTTTACCAAGGAGGAGCCGATAGCCGCGTGGAATTTAAACACAATCGAGAGCTAGCGCAACAGCATTCCACGCAGGACCCTGCCCTGGTAAATGAAGCAGCCTACAGCGCTGCCATCCGCTTGGCGCTCCAGCGAAGGGACATGTATCTTGAGGATGCAAAGGAAGCGCTAAAGGTCGCAGGCAAGCCCAAGATGATCAAGCGCAAGAAGGACTGCGCTAGGCTTCATGCAACAGATGGCCATGCTTGGAGGCAATAAAACGCATTCATTCTAATCATTCTGCCTTAGGAGGAGGACGCCGAATGTGAGAAGTGACTGCCTGGGACTTTAGCTTTAGCTGTCATCACCTTGAGCTGGCCATGGAAGGCTGCAATGATCCGATTGTGGTGCCACGTAAGCACAGACTTGTT